AAAAAAAAAAAAAAAAGGACAAGAAAAAAAAGAACACTTCTTTGCACTATAAGCAATAGTGCTATAAAGTGAACGGCTGCCACAAAAAAAAAGTTACAGTACCTCCTGCTGTTACTAGCCAATATGAGCTGTGAGACAGGTTTTCATAACATATCTTACCTTAATCCATACTGTCTCATTCATAAAGCTGAACGGTAAGGATGGATTGTCCGGTGTCTGCTTGTTTAGAATACTGAAATTAATGGACTCTTTGGCAATTCGGGGTGGAGTCCCAGTCTTCAACCTTCCCACCACAAACCCTAACTTCTCCAGCGTCTGAGCCAATCCTATAGAAGGCTGATCCCCTAAACGTCCTGCTGGATGCATCTCCAATCCAATTATAATCATGCCTCTCAGAAATGTCCCAGTAGTCAGAATCACACTCTCTGAATATACTGTGCTTCCATCCACTAAATAACAGAAAAAAAGAATAAAGTCATTTTTAAATTGTTACCATGGATCAAAATAGAATGTGACTATTTTACATTAGAACTACAGGAAAACTATCAGTCTTTTGAAACTTGAGAATCTTTTCTAATCTTATTTTTGTTTCTTTCAAGCATTACTGATGTATAACAGACATTAAAAATATACTAAATATACTTAAAGTAAGCATCATGGTGTTTTGATACAAGTATATCTTCTGTGATGATACTCATAATCAAACTAACATAACCATCACCTCACATAGTTACATGTTTTGTGTGGTGAGAATACTTAGATCTACTCCCTTAACAAATTTCAAGTATATAGTACAATATTATTAACTACAGTTACTATACTGTACATTAGATCGCTAGAACTTATTCAACTTACAGCTGAAAATGTGTAGCCTCTGAGCAATATCTCTCATTTCCCCTATCCCAGACTAAGAATTTTAAATGAGTAAGAAGGCTATATGTTATCAATCTCAAGAATCTAAGCAATCTAGGAGAGAGAATACAATGTGTTATCACCAATTCACATACACCTAAAATCATATAAACACTAAAAAGTTAGTCTCAATTAATTGAAAAAATTAATTTAGACTTCAGGATAAATATGCTATACAACCTCACATTTCTTCTCCCTTCTAAAACTCAAAAAAATAAAATAGGGGCCGGGCGCGGTGGCTCAAGCCTGTAATCCCAGCACTTTGGGAGGCCGAGGCGGGTGGATCACGAGGTCAAGAGATCAAGACCATCCTGGTCAACATGGTGAAACCCCGTCTCTACTA